ATGCGTTTTTGAAGTGTTATGAATATTGTATTGGCTTTTTAGACCATACGAAACGTATACAATCCCAAATTGTTTATTTATATGTGGACGAATGTCTCTTGTTCTTGTTTTATTTGTAAATTAAAGCAATTTTAGAATTATTAATTTTTTAATATTCTGTTTTTATTTATTCCATTGAAATGTGATGATAATGATAAACATATACATGCAAATGTTATTTGAAGCTGAGCTTTCAAAAGGAACTTCATTATTATAATAAACAATAAACAAAACACCTTTATGACGTGTTCTGGTTTTCCAATAATTTCAAACAGTCGGGGATTTTTTGCCTTTACGCATACGGTCCGGCGCAGTTTCAAAACAGTTTTCATTTTGAGAACCAGAACAAACCTTATAATAACTAGATAGGAAAACATCAGATTTTTAACTATTGCGCATGCGAAATCGTTAGTGTTATAATTCGATTCAGGATTCTTGTCGCGAACGAAGCTAATAATGACAAGGCTTGTTTTGGTTATTTCGCAAACCCAAACCAATTCAGAATCACTAAATTCCACTCGATCAGCTAATAGATTATTATAAACCGCGCGACGTATTCCTGAAAAAAGAATTCGCCAAATGTATTAGATAATTGGATTTGGCGGTTCTATTTTCTGTTCTAGGAAGACTCTGAGTCGGACTTGGCTGAGATCTGTTTATAAATACGGACCTTATTGACTTACACATTTCCACCACAATTATGAATAAATAAGGCTGTTTGTAAATGCCGCGTTTGAGAATCCACATCGGATGCATTTTTTACATCTCGAGCGTTTTTTTATCCACATCGGACACTACTACATCTACATCTGCGTTTGTTTATCCCAGATGTACCTGTTCAGATTACATTTTTTACATCTCGATTTGAAATGAGATGTTCGTTCCATGCCAGAGAGTAAGTGTTCTGTGAAGCCAAGTTTGTCAATTTATCCTTTGTTTATGCTAGCATAAATATTAAAATGATTAGTTTGTGTAATTTTTGTTTATATTTCTAATTTGGGTTGATTTGTAGTCTCAAAAGTCAAATTTAAAAAGTATAAACTTCTAACTTGTCATTGACATTTTATCACGTGACCAAATAAAGTCTAGAGCGTTTGTTTATTACATCTACATTCAGATCTAATTCTCTATCATGTGATAAAAAATTCACAACATCTAAGGGGGGCTATTTTCAAACTCGAGAGAATTCATTTCTCTCAAGAGAAATGTCATACGTCAACGTAAAACCGTATTTTTAGGGCTCTTAGGCCCAGTGTGAACTCACTGACTGTTTCTCTCGGTTTATTTAGAGAGAATTAAAATCTTCCTAAGAATTTTAATCCTCGATTCCTTTAAAAACAACATTTCCACATTGACGTATGACATTTCTGATGAGAATCTTGAGAGAAATGAGTGCTCCCATACTTTGAAAATAGCCCCCCAGATACATCCGATGTGAATTCTCAAACGTGGCAATAGTATGCGCGAGGTTCTGTGGTGACGTTATATATTGACAGCTTGACAGGTCACGTCACATACACAGATTTGAAAAACAGGGCTCTCCTATTTATACAATGCTATCTTTGACAACGAACAGCTGCAAATTTTATTGAACCAAATATTTATATTGAGTAACCTACGGTTGGTTGTAATTATCCTTCCTCCATGGTTGATTGTCTCTGGAATCAATTTGCTTTGGTCTTTAGATTCACATCCACGAATAAAATTAAAAATTTCAATCAAGGCCATTTCATAGCGTATGATGATTTTCTGGCTGAGTTCGGATTGGTGTTCGTTGTACTCAGAGTGCACTCGGTATGCCTCAATTGTGGTCGTCTTGGCACTCAGAACGTACTCTTTCGTGTTCGGGTTGCCACAGATCACGTACTCCGAGCGCGCTAACTCTTCCCCGAGTTAGCCGGTGGAGATCAGTGGGTATCTGTAGGAATGTGTCGAAAATGTCAAATGTTAATATTCTAATCTTATGATTAATCAGTTTAACACGTATTATTTCTGGTTTGTTTTTGTTATAACTATTTTCTATTTAATTAAAATTACTTTTTACAGTCCATACACAAACACAAAAGTGTATTCAAGTGCAAACTATGATTAATGTAATTTGTCATTTCTCTTGTGTTCGTCTTGAAATTATAAAAAGAGTGAACTGTCTATGACGTCACGCACTCCGTGCGTGCTCCGGGGGCCTATTTTCAAAGTATGTGAGCACTCATTTCTCTCAAGATTCTCATCAGAAATGTCATACGCATAGCCCTCAGAAGGTCTAGATACCGCATCGTAAAAAAAATTTGACCCCTCATATGATGGGCGCCATGATAAATAAATGTCAATAAATTTTAAGTTGGCACTACTGACAAGACAGAATCGGCGCAAGTTTAGTAATAAGCGTAAGATCGGCGTTCGACGTATGTAATCGATTTTATTATCTGTTGTGTTGTTTATTTTGTTCTTCTAGTAAAGGTTTTATTTAAAACATTATTTTTTAGTTTAGTCGTTTAGTGTTTTATTTTAATAAAAAACATTTGTGGTTTGGTGTTAAATTTTTACAGGATTTTCAAAATCTCTTTTTGTTTTGTACGTGAATGTAACAATGCATCTAACGGTAGAAGATACAAGGAAGGAATAACATTTCATGTGTAAGTTTTCACAAATATTTGTGTATTTACAAAATCAAATAATTTGTATGTTTTGTTGTAGCATATCAAAAAATGTTAGGAAAGAATAACTGATAGCCATAGGAAGACCATTGAATCATTTTGTGACTTTAGTATAAGCCCAGAAAATTTGGGGATACTAGCTGAAACGGCAAATGTGTTATTGGCTCCTTGTTAGTGACCTATTGTACAATTTTTCCAACACAAGTTCCATGATCCTTTGAACTCGGCTGCACCGTACTGATGAAGACCAATAGTCAGAAAAACGTGTCGACCGTTACTTCTTTTTTACTTTTTTTTATTCGGAAAATGTCCACTATTACTACCTTGATACAATAATATTAGTTCCGTTCTAAGTAGGTACATATTATAGTTTGTATGTTTTATGCTTTATTTTATTATATGTAATAAATGATAGGAAATATACTTTTATAGTAAATAAATTGATTAAAGCAATATGTAAGAATAAGTTTATCTAATGATTAAATTGTTAAAGCAATTTTTCATATCCATTGTTTATTAATTTGTTTCATTTAATTCTTTCTTATTGAGTAAGTTATTTCATATAAATATGCGATACTTGTAAAATGTAATATTTTCTTTTAAATAGGTATATATTATGTTTGTATAAAATATTGTTCAGTTAATAAAAACAGAAATATTTTGTCTTTTATTCAAAAGAAGTTTGTAAATTTTTCAAAATATATTTACCTACCCCAAAAAAAGATTAATAAAACAGTTAGTCATATACACATTTTCTATATATTTATAGAGGTACTTTTTAAATAACTTTCAATACATTCGAAATCTGTGGTTTTATTAAACTCAATGTAACAAATAATAATAGGTATTCTCAAAAATATTTAAAAATAAAATCGAGATGGGACTCTTGTATAATTTAGTGACTATTCGCCTATGGTTAGTGCACTACTGTATGTCCCTGGGTTTTCTACATTAGAACAATACTGCTTCTCCACTCTAGCAGTATTTTTTGCATCTCAGATTATATTTATTAAAAAACCAAGGAATTGTTTTGGGCCTATTGCTGGGCCCTTTTCCAACATTGCCAAAGTTTTTTTTTACTTTCTGCTGATTGGATCTCCGATAGCGACTTCTCCATTTGTTGTTCCACTAGTTTTTTATCAAATTTTTAAAATAACTTCTATATATTTATCTTTTGCAATGACTTTGCTTACCTGCTTCATAATCTCTTCCCTATGCCCCAATTTCTCTAACAGGTGAGATCTTATACTCGCTCTATTAAATCAAATTATCATTATAGTTTATTTGAAAATGCTTGGTAGCACAGTTTTTATGGCAAAGGTCCATATTTTTATATAATTTTGCTATTATTCATTTTCAAATAAACTATAGGAATAGGAGTAATCTATTAGTTTTTCTAAAAATACCTTGTTACCGATGTAAGTATATCTTTCCCTAGTTAAAAAATTCGAGTTTTGATTTTCATAATATAATATAAATAAATGTCCGGTTAACAATCACATTCTTTTAAATAGTACATTTGACATTGAAGTATGTATTTTCTCCATATTGCCAAACAGGAACAGATGGTTTACTTGTAATTTGAATTATATTACATAAATCTCACTGAATTTCTCTATAATTCTCATAGCAATATGTACACAAACCACTTATCCAATAATATATAACCATGTAAAAATAACATTTCAAGAACGAGAAATTTTATAAAACCGGTCCTGTCTGAACAGATCTAGGAAATTCAAATAGGTTTGTCAAAGTTTTGTTCTTAATTTGAAATTAGAAATTGTGCGTCTCACTCACTTATAACTAATAACAAAGTGCAGATTATCGGTGTTCACGTATTACAGAACACACAAACTAAAAATCAGTGTAGCCAAAACATAAATTTACCTAACATGGCGACAAGCTTGAATGGGGTCATTTTTTTGTATTGACAGTATACGCCAAGCGGTATCTAGACTTTCTGAGGGCTATGGTCATACGTCAATGTGGAAACGTTGTATTTAAAGACATCGAGGATTAAAATTCTTATGAGAATTTTAATTATCTCTAAATAAGAGAGAAACAGTCAGTGAGTTCACACTGGCCCTAAGAGCCCTAAAAATACGGTTTTACGTTGACGTATGACATTTCTCTTGATGGAAATGAATTCTCTCGAGTTTGAAAATAGCACCCCTGTCCGATCCGTCGAGTTTCAAACCGAACTTACCCTCTATGAATTGAGTTGGCGACCCTGTCGGAATGCCAGGCTAGATGTCAAATGCCAAAATATTACTTGTCTCTTGTCTTGTTTTGTTTTTATTTTTATTTTCACTCGTTTAAGTCGTTTATAACATTTTTAAGAAGTAACATTATGTTTTGTAGACAACAGTACCTAGTTTTTTATCTTTTGTTCAGTTATTAAAATGATGGATGTAAAACAAGAACTTTTTGATCCTAATATTGAGACAATTAAAATGGAACCAGATTTTGTTTCCGATCAAGTAGATGGAAATTATTGGTGTTCTTCAAAAGATAAAACGTTTAAAAACCATCAAGACTGTGTTCTTGGTGATAATGACAATATTTGTGACTATCAAATAACGAGAGAGTTCGTAAATTTTGATGGGATCAAACGAGAATGTGAATTGCCTAAAATTGAAGGTTCTGATTTCCTGGAAAACATTGAGTACAAATCAGTACGTGACAATGTTAATAATTTTCCTAGCACTATTAAAAAAGAACCTGAGAACGCTAACGAAATTAAAGAGGCAGATATCGGCGATATTAAGCCTGTGATTAGCGGATATGTTCAGTTTACAGATGAAAGTGAACTTTTGACGTCTCATTGTGATTTGCCCACTCTGAAGAGCGAGATTGAGGTTACTGATTATCCGAGTTATTTTGTACAGCCCTGTAGCCGCAAACAAATCGTAATAAAATCAAAATCATCAAAACGTATTGTGACAAATGTTCCTAATCAAAAGAAGAAGGGGTATCCGTGGTCTGTTCTCCAAAAAAGTAAGTACATTTATATATGAATCATTTATTTAGTCAACATACTTTTACATGTCAATACATCTTCACATTTAAAATAAAATTAAAAAAATACATAAATATAGAGTCAACATACATTTAAAATAAAATAAAAATACATAAGTATACAGTCAACATATGGAAAATGATAACTTGTCAACTTTACAAAACATAATAAAAGAAAAAAAAAACATCAAATGGTCAGCAAGTACTCACAGAGTTTTCTTTTAAATATTGCCACATTTGAATTCTTTAGGCAAATTATTAAAAGCCTGTACCTCTACATCTTTAAAAAACCCTGAATATTGTGTACATTTTTTCATGATCTTTTAACACTCTAAAATTTTTCTTATTTTGTATATTGTGTTCATGAACATCCTAAATATAACTATATTTTGTAAATATACTCGGGAGATTCCTGATTTAATCTTAAATATAAATAGCAGGGAATAGAACAGCAAATATTTTTTAACAGGCAACCACTGAAGCACATTTAACTTTGAATTGATTGGTTCCAATCTTGAACAGCTCAGTATTATCCTTATACCTCTATTCAGCAACTTTTGCAATCATTGCAATTCATTCTGGTTGGGCAAATTCAATATAGTGGCACAATAATTAAAATGATGTAATATTAGATTAATATAAATTATTATTTTAGCCCATTTGCTGAGATGTGGAGAACAGTGTGCCTCAAACAGTTGATTTTAAATGATATGCTTACGATGACGTTATTAGCATGTTCCTTAAATTGTAAATTTATATCAACCATAACCCCTAAATATTTAAATTTTTGACTTTCTGAAACTTTACTAGGTACATCAACAGGAACACACTGCAATGCTCTCGGGGATACCACATTTGATTTTTTTAAATTTCAGGTACCCTCAATTAACATCCACTCTTTTCATAATTTATTTTCAATGAGTTTCTGTTAAGTACAATAATCATATATTTTACTTATAGAACTATTAATTTCTTTAAAACAAGTTTCAGTGTATTATCCACAAATAAGTGTATTGAGCATCTTTCGGCTACACCAGCAATATCATTAATATAAATTAAAAACACTAGTGGACCCAGATTACTACCCTGTGACATATTATTCTCTATAGTATACGAAACATAATTACTTACCTTAACCTTATGTTTACTATTTTCCATATGTTGACCCAACCACTCCACTGCACAACCCCCCAGACTAATAGCCCTTAATTTCATTAATAATATTGAAACGAGACAATTTACTTGTAAACATACTGTATCATGCAAAACATGATATCTAACACATTAGGTTTTTAAGATGACAAATATCATAAAAATTAATTGTATCCATCAGATAAGAATTCTCTGAATATTTCTGTTAAGTATCTTTGATTTATTGTGACCACGGTAAGTTTGTTTTAAAGTATAGACTGAAGTTTATTTATATTATGGTTCTTTAGTTAAGGTGACCTTATTCAAAGAAAGTATAAATCCCACTCACTTTTGCTTCTGCTGTGAGAGGGTCAGAAGGAGAAGAATATTAGGCCAAAGGCAGTAGTTTCTGCACCATAGTGGTAGCTGTAAGTTGTCAGTTAGAGATAAGTTGTGAGTAGTTTTCCCAGCACGAGGCACTTTGCTTTAAAATTATATCTTGCCTTCAATCTTGCCTTGTTATCAAGGATCATTCGAAGCGCTGTGCTCAAAGTTCACAGAGGATGTAACAGACCTTTCTTTCCCACATTGGAGATACAATTGATTAGTTTAGATATTTTGAGTAGTATTTATTATAGTTTAAAGTTATAGGATATTGTTGAGTTTTAGTTAAGTTAGTTTATACCTCGGTTTATACGTTTCAGAGAATAACTTCTCTGTAACATTACATTCATTATGAAAAGGGTTGATAATTAAAATAAAGATTGTTATTTGGAATCATCTTATTTCCCATGTTTCATTTTTAGTCCAATGAAATAGACCTTTAAATCAAAATTTTGGAAGAAATACAGGAATTTTTGTTATAAGTTACTTCAGAGTATTTGAAAACGATATGTAAAAAATAGTTATTTATGCAACAAGTGTGTAAAGTTACCCTTTTTTGACGAATGTGAATGTTGTTGCACGAGCCGCAGGCGAGTGCGACAATCACTTGAGTCAAAAAAGGGACTTTACACACGAGTGGCATACAATATTTTTTCTACTACCATACACATAATCCACTAATATTAGAAATATAAAAGTTACTTTTTTCACTAGTGAAAAAAAGTGCTTTACGCACTAGTAAAAAAAAGTAAAATGTGCCAAAAATTGTACACAGCAACAAAAATAAATTTATTGGAACTTAAATTTATAATTCTTACAGAACAAAATGACTAACAAATGAAGAAATATTTAAAAAATAGGTTTTTAACTCTTATGAATATTAATATTGAATGTGCAATTATTGCAATTACCAAAACTTAAGGTTTTGGCCTTTTCCAGCACAGAGTTTGAAAAATGTTGTGATATTACTTCTGTAACCCTATTTTGAGCTTCGAGTGGTATGGATTTGGCCTTTTCAAGTAAAGAGGTTGAAATATTTTGTGTAACTCTAGTTTCACTGTCGAGTGGTTCCACTAATTCTTCATTAGAGTTGTCAACGGTAAAATTGTAGCTTTGTTTGGAAGTGGATGGCATACTGTCATCCATCAAAATTTTATTAGAAATTTTGTTTTTTTGTGTTATTGTGCTGTCTACGTAGCCTTCTGCAACAGCAGATGATTTCCATCCTCCATGTTTTTTGACCGTTAGAAGGTCTCCTCCAGAATTTGCCAGCATAGTGGCTGAAGACCTCCTAAAGCAGTGTCCTGTAAAAGCCGTTGGATTTGGCAAGTTTAGATAATAATAATAATAATAATAATAATGTTTATTCATCTTTAAAAAAAATATATATATACAATTACATAAAAATATAAATACAAAGGGCGAATAAACATAAATTATCACAAAAGTAGTGAAACCACTTGTATGTGATACAAACAATATAATCAAACAAACAATATAATTAATGCACCTCTTAAACAAAATTTTATAAAAATATGAATTTTTTGTTATAATATTTATTTATCAGCTGTGATACTAACATTCCACAAGGAAAACCTGTCTGTAGTCCGTCAATATACAACTGACAAAATTTTAATTTTAGTTCAAGTGTGTTTTGTTTTTTTTTTTTTGAGGATCTTAAGATGAGTATATAATTTTTTTTTATATTTATTTATTTTTTTTAAATAAAGTAATTTTCAATCATTTCATGTATCGTTAGTCGAGAGTGTTGTAGTATCCATTTTTTTATCTTTTTCTTGTACATTCTTTTTGAATTAATAATTTTTATTTCTGTAGGTAGTCTGTTATATAATTTTGGACCCATGTACCAAAAACTTCTCTGGGTATTTGATTTATCGACTTTAGGTAAGATAAAAGTATGGAGCCTAGAACGAGTATTGTAATGGTATTCTTTCTTTTTCAGCTCATTTTTATTATAATGCTGTCGCATAAGAAGATTTTGACAGAAAAGTTGTCTAACATCAAAAAACTGACTCTCTTCGAAGAGCTGCTCTGTCGAGTAGGCATATGGTTTTTTCATTAAAATCTTTATAAGCCATTTTTGCGTAATATTTAATTTATTTATGTGACAATCAAGTGCACCGCCCCAAGCAATAATTGAGTAAGTTATATGGGTTTCAGCAAGAGCATAATATAATATTCTTAACTCATTCCATTTTAATATTTCTGACAAGAATTTGAATGTATGCAGTAACATTCTTAACTTTTTAGTAACAAAGTTGATATGAATATCCCATTTTAAATGATTGTCTATATATATTCCCAAGTATTTGATATTAGAGACTGCTTTAATTTCTATTCCAATATTGTTGACTTTAATTTCGATTTTGTTATAGTTTGGTAAAGCATTAGCGTATGATGAAAAGGGAACAAAGAATGTCTTACTGAAATTTACCGTAAGTAAGTGTTGCTGAAACCAGTGAAATATATGAGGCAAGTCACTTTCAACTAATAATTTCAAAGATACCCAGTCAGTGCTTTCATAAACAATTGCAGTATCGTCAGCAAAACTGATAATGTTGCCATTAGAATTTATAGAAAATAAGTTATTAAGGTATATGCTAAATAAAATTGGCCCCAGTACGGTCCCTTGCGGAACGCGATACGTTGCTATAACACTTGACATTTTACCAAAAGTATTTATCCCTACAGGCTGTTTAGAATATTTTCCATTTGCGAATTTTAAAAAAAATCTGTTACAATTTATATTTGATGGTCTTAATGAGGTATATTTTTTTATGAAAGATAAATAATCAACTGCAGAATTATTTGGATTTAAAATTCGAAAAATGCGTTCTATTCCATTTTTGGTTTCTGATACTTTGACAATATACACTGTTTGTTTATCTTCCACATCGTTAATTGTCATTTTACATAATTCTTCCCGGCGACAAGCTCCCGCAATTCCAATTATAAAAGCTACCTAAAAAATAACATATTGTAATGTTACAAATAATTTATTAAACATTAGGAAATATCTTGACGTTGCGCATGTAAAACTCCAAATAAATGCTATTGTAAAAAATATAAAAGTTTTAGGTATAATGTGCTGCCTAACAACCCCGATGGCCTGTTAGGACAGCAACTGATTTTGTTAGGCAACACACCATACGAACACACATCTCGTTGCAAAACTTTACAGAATATTTTAATTTTATACTGAGCATTCAAGCATTTACTGAGGCATTTACTTACTTTGATCATTAAAAACTTGGAATCTGGAACTTTCAACAGAAAATTAATTAGATCTTCTCGTTCAAAAATTTTGGATTTTTTTGGTTTATAACCTTTATTTTTTTGTTTGAGAAACGCTATTAACTTGTTGAATTTCGAAATATCAACGTTGTTTTTATATTTTAAGGTGCTTTTAAGCATAGAATAAATCGACCATAGGGTAGAAGCTT